TGGTCTGCAAAATGTTTGTTTTAGTTATAGATGTATATATACCCGTACTAAGTTACCATGGAAAGTGTATTTTACTTTGGGTAAAGGTTAAAAAAAAAAAGATTTGAAAGCCAAACTTTTTGGCTTGGTATTCTTCATTGGTTAAAAAAAATATTGTTTTTTTTTATTTGTCTGGGGGCAGTGGCTCATGCCTGTAATCCTAGCACTTTGGGAGGCTGAGGTGGGCAAATCACCTGAGGTCAGGAGTTTGAGACCAGCCTAGCCAACATGGTAAAACCCATCTCTACTAAAAATGCAAAAGTTGGCCAGATGTGGCAGCATGGGCCTGTAATCCCAGATACTCGGAAGGCTGAGGCAGGAGAATCGCTTAAGCCAGGGAGGCAGAGGTTGCAGTGAGTCGAGGTCACACCAGCGCACTCCAGCCTGGGCAACAGAGCAAGAATCCGGCTCAAAAACAAACAAACAAACAAACAAACAGAGTAAAAACAGAAAAAAAAATATTAAGTGATGGGGATCATGTACAAGGTTTTTCTTTGTAATAGCAAAAAATTGATAACAAAACAAATATCCATATAGGCCGGGCAAAGTGGCTGATACCTATAATCCAAGCACTTTGGGAGGATCACTTGAACCCAGGAGTTCGAAATCAGCCTGGGCAACATGGCAAAACCCTGCGTCTACAGAAAAGTACAAAAACTAGCTAGACATGGTGATGTGCACCTGTAGTCCCAGCTACTCAGGATAAGGTGGATGGATGGCTTGAGCCCAGGAGTTTGCGCCACTGCGCTCCAGCCTGGGCAGCAGAGGGAGACCCTGTCTCAAAAAAACAAAACAAAAACAAGTAACCGTGTAATGGCAAATCATATAACAGTAAAAATGACTGAACCAGAGCTACATGTATCACTATAGATGAATGTCAGCACAAAGTCGAGTGAAAAAAGCAAGTTGCAGATGGATATGTGCTGAATAATATCTTTTATTTATACAACGTCTACAAAAGTGAAAAATAATAGATCTTATCTAGAGATAACAAATGTGTAAGAAACCTATAGAGACGCACATTGAGTAATAAATACACAATTTAAAATAAAGCTAGATGAGGAGTAAATGGAGGTTTAATATAATATTCTTGATATTTTTGTATAAGT